TGAAAACAGAATTTTGAAGGAAGGACAGTGACGCTTACAGGAGTCAGCCAATCAGCCACATAATGTGTTTATGAACCTACTAAGAATAAATTAAGTTTTTATTTATTTGATATAGTTCTGACATGTAAAGTGAAAGGTACTGAATCAGAAGCAAACCATTCATAGGGAAGGAAGTGGGGACCCTTCTTTCCCACTGGGAGACATTTCCTCCAGTGGCTCTTATCAAATGATATAGGATTTTGTGTTTCCTTAAATAACCATGACACTTCACTTCAAGGATGATGATTCCTATAAATGTTTATTTGCCTGATCATGTCATGTCTCTATTTGAAGCCCTACATCATTTTCAAAACCTTTCAGGAGGAAGCCTCAATTCCATGACATGGCAACAACATTCATATTCACCCGCCCAATCTCAGATTTCTGTTTCTCAAACCCATTCCATCTACTCTACGGTTCCCAAAGATATTTGTTCACTTTGCTGCCTCAGTCTGGGAACCAGTTCTTCCCAGCCCCACCCCCTCTTCTCAGGAGCATCTCTCCATTTAGCTTTTCAAGAATCAACTCACACGTAGGTCTTCCTTCAAACCATTCCTCTATCAAAACAACCCTTCTTGCTTATAGAATTGACCACTTCCTCTTCTGTACTCCCACGACAGTCTGTGCACCATTCTATAACAGCAGTTCTAAAAATGTGCTGTATTTAGATCAAGGTTTCTCAATGTTGGCACTATTGACATGGACCATACCATTCTTTGCCGTAGGGTGTCTTAAAGCATCCTTGGCTTCTACCCACTACAGTCCAGGAACTCACCCCACCAAATTATAACACTCAAAAATATCTCCAGACATTGCCCAATGTCTACTGGGTGGAAAAATCACCCCCATTAACTTAAATGTACATCTTTGTTCTCCCCTAATAAATCTGTAAGCTTCGTGAGAGCAAGAGTATTATATTCATCTTTGTAAATACAGAGATACAAAGCAGAGTGCTGGAGTGCCACTGTAGATTCTCAAACAATGTTTGTTAAGTGAATGATTATCTTGTTACAAAAAAGATAGTGCGGTATTGCCAAAATGTGGAAAATTAAGTGTATCAACATCTAGTCCTGATCAAGATGATGCTTTACTTTTTAAATATTCCATCACTAATCAAATTAAAATTTTCAATTTTATCTAAACATAGATCAGATTAAAGCACTTAAATCAACCAACCCATTACTAGAAATAATTTACATTGATTTTTATATGTTTTTAATACAAAAGGAAATGGTATTTGGGATGTAGAAACTGATTTGAGGTAATACCTACATATGTCAAACTCATGGATTAAAAATTGCTTGAATTTAGTTGGTTAAATTTGTTAGGTTTCTAAAAAAATGTTCTACTAGTACTTTTTATGTTCTGTAAATAGCTTTAATTAATTGTTTCACTTTTTTAAGTGTTAAAGTAGTACTTTTTATGCCCTGTAAAATTTTTGTAAAAATTTCAATTTTTACAAAATAAAAAGTCAAACTTAAATAATGCAATCCTTGCTAAGGATCCTTTTCACTCCATTAACAGTGATGTCACATATTTTGCTGGAATTGATAAATCAAGGAATTTTAGAAACCAGACATTTATTACCTTAATTTTAAATACTTATTTAAAATAAGTTTCAAAGCAAGGTTGCCATGCCAGAATTCAAATACATGAGCTCACATACGCATAATACAAAAATACACATAAGTTTTTAAAATGTGTATACTCTGTGGATAATGATTTAAAATCTTTAAAGATTAGTATTTTTTTTAAAAAATTGTGCAATTATTATAACTTATTAGTCCAAATTATGATAAATTACCTTTGAAATAGAAAAGTTTGCCATGAATTATTTCCAATTCCATAATATTTCTTATCTAAAGAAAAATAGTTTAATTTGAAAGTATAACTCATGTAACATAAAGAAGATTTATATTCTGTGGTGTGATTATGGTGTGCTCAACTGAAAGATAGTGTAGTTAGCGAAACTCTGGCTATTTCTCACACAAGCACATTTGAGCAAGTACCATACTTTAAATTCTGATTTATGACAATAAGTTATCTTCATTCTTTCTTACACTTTTGAATGATGTAGTTTAATATTTGATGACCATAATTTTAGTGAAAGGGTCAAATTAATCTCATTTTTTAAAGAATCTTAACTTTACAAACAAATAAAGCCATTGACATTTTCATTTGGCCTCAACTACCTTTTAACTAAACTAAAATACCTTTTGTATTTAGTGTCTGGATTTTTTGCATATATAGTCATGGAAACAACAAAATCATCATACTAATATAACTAACTTTGCTGTTCTTGTGGCTCAGCAGTTTTTTGTTTTTGTTTTTCCAAAATTTGGCTCTATAACTTTTTAAAGCATTTTTTTCACTCTCCAAGAAAAAGTCCATAAAGATCTCTCTATATAATTAGAATTTTTATATTTCTTCATGTGCTAATATATCTTATTATAAGTTCTAGAAAATTAATACTTTAAACCAAGGGGTTGGTAAACTACAGCCTGCAGGCTGAATTCTCCCCATCACCTATTTTTGTATAGCTCATGAGCTAAGAGTACTTTTTACATTTTTTAAATGGTTGAAAAAAAATCAGAAGAAGAATTAACATTTCATGAGAAGTGAAAATTACACGAAATTCAAATTTCAGTGTCTGTGAAGGAAATGTTACTAGAACACAGCTCAGTTGTGTAAGTATTTTCTATGGCTGCTTCTGAGCTATAATGACAGATTTGAGTAGTCATAACAGAGGTCCACAAAGACTAAAATATTTACTATATGGTCCTTTACAAAAATGTTTGCTGACTCTGCTGTAAATAATTAGTCTATGACTATAAACACACGACATGTAAATCTGGAGGATAGGACACAATGTATTTCTAAGGAGATTTCTTTGAATAAATATCACCTTTTTATTATTTTCTCATTAATATATTTTTCTGTAAGCATTGGTAAAGGCAATTGATCATTAGCAATACAATACTTGCCATGATGTTTGTTCTATATTTTTAAAAGGTACTGTTAAATTGGTAGACGCGATCAGCAGCTTTTTTAAAGGTGTACCTTTCTTTACTTCATCACTAAAGTCTTGATAATTTGGAATTCTCATAATTTCCCACTTGAAATAAACTTAGACATCTAATAATAATCAGCAATGACTTTGAATCTGTAAAATTCAGTCTAATGCTTTATCACATCTTGATAAAGCTGTTGTCTGGCTTCCAGCTACACCGTTTTGTAATGAAGAAAAAACACAGCCAACCGAAGTGAGCTTAATTTATAGTCTTAACTAGTTTACAGTCCAGTTTAAGCACAGAAAAAAAATAAAGCACAAATTTGGTAAGTTAACCAAAAAATTGAATTCCTTTCAAGCAAACATTGCTAACAGGTGCTTAAATGTTAACAAAAGATTATCATTCTCTACTAATGAACTTAATGCTACTCAAGTTATTGTAAAAGCTACAAAAACATAAACTGTCAGTAATTTACTATTTGATGCCATAACTAAATAGATTATAGTCTGAACATCTGTTCTTTGTTCAAAAGTTACTTTAAAATAAGATTTTAAGTAAGATTTCCTACCAGAAAAATTCACTTGTTTATTACCTCTGCACCATTATTTAAAAAAAAAAAAAAAAAAGTTTAAGGGGAAAAAAAAAGTTTTAAATGTCTTGGGAAGTATGTAGAATTTGCTACAATATCACCCATAATCTTATTACTGTATTATGTGGCTATTAATGATAATGAGGGCTATATTTTATTTTGAGGATGTTTCTAAAAATCTCTAAAGTGAAAGCACAAGTGGTATATTTCTAGATTTTTACATTTCAGTAAGTATTATAATAATAAAGAGAAATAAAAAAATCACATACAGACATTAAAAAATGTATAACTAGAAGCAATGGTTCAAATAAAACTTCTGAAATGTCACATAAGGTAAGGCTAGTCACTGAAAAATGAAATAATAGAGAGATTTTCGATTTTATATTAATATTAGCTAAATTCAATCTTTTTGTTGTTGCTATTAGATTTATTTAAACTGACAATTTAGAATTGTTTTTCTTTGACCCTTAAAGTGAATTATAAGAAGCCAATTTAGAGGAGCAAAGCAAATAATGTCATAACCCTGAGAACCAGAAAGATTATTATCTCAAATACGTGAACCTAGGAAGTGAGGTCTCTTCTTTAACACCAAAAAGCAACTGGTTTTACCAAAAGTAAAACTGAAGGACCCATTGGAATGGAAAGAGCATTAGCGATCTCCCAAGAAATGGAAATCACAACGTCTCCTCTTAGTTGTAGATGACTTCTCCTAGGTTATATAAGATTCAATGTCAATTCTAACAATATGAGGCCAGTCATTAAAATAATTTTTGTTTAAAAGAAAATCAGTTCATAATTATTTTCAATTATCATATCATTTTTGTAATTAGAGATGATGCCACTCCATCTAGCCAGCTTTTCTGGTGCAGTGAAACCCTGATAAGAAATCTCAAATATAAATTGTCTGTTTGCTTCCATTAATGGAACATCTGTTGTCTATAGTCGAGTGGCAATGGACTGTGGCTTGGATTTATGTCTGAAATAACAATGGTGTGGCAAATCCTGCACAACTTTCAACCTCAAGCCCTACCTGAAGATTGAAGAAGCTGCCAAAAGAGTCAGTCCTTTCCCCAAATCTAATCAAAATATCTGGGATCGATTGCAGCACACAAAATAAAATTTTGTTTCTATCTGTCTGCACCCAAATGCAGGAAGATGTTTTTCATTTCTTTTTACCGTATTTAAGATACTTCCCAACCCCATCATTTATCTGTCACTGGCTCCACAACCACTAGAAGAGCTTTGCTGGAGGTTACCTAGTGTGATTAAAAAAAAATTATTAAATTAAAATGAGCCTTTCGTGCTTACTAAAAAGGCAGCTTTTGCAGTCCCTTTAGGTGGATCCAGCGCTGGGCACTTACCCAAGTCCCTGGTTCTGTGGAGTCAGCTGTCCTCCATGTGCCTGGTTCTGCCGCATGTGAATGAGACTGAGTGTTCAAATGCCTGGACTTAACAAACTCTTTCAGAAAAGATTCCAATCTTCAAATGAGAGAAGAGTTGCTTATTATGAAAAGTCTTTTAGAAAAAGAAAAGTTAAAAAAAAAAAAACACCTGAATTTTAGACAAGCAAATGCTTCCACAGTTCTCAAAGTTTTGCAAGACTAATCATCACCAACATGAAACCTAAGCTCATCATTTATAGACTTCTGTTTCCTTCCAACTATGTCTCTTTCAATTTTCATTTCATTCCCTTACTCCTTTTTTTCCAACTCACTTTTGATCTTCTATTTTACACCATAGAGAAGTCTTGAGTGGTATGTAGGAAGCAAGCCTTAGTCAGCCTGATGAGGGAAAGCCTGCTGGTCTAGAAAAAAAAAAAAATCATACAGTAAGAAATAAGGCCTGAGATTGGACTGGGAGCTAATCTGCACAATTATCAATGTCCTGTTGTGCTTCGTGAAAGATGCCTGGCTTTTTCAATGCTACGTTTCATATAGTGATGAAAATGGGATATGGAATATCATCTTGAAAACTGGTTTGATTGGGATAATAATGACTAAGAGGCCGTCAATGCAAACAAACCCAACAAGACCCAATTGTGAAGAGTAAACTAGACACTGAGTCTGCTTCATAATCTCTGCTTTTGTTTAAGGCCTCCAAACAATTCCCACCCCCTCCAGCCTTTGGATCCTTGGACCCAGTTAGAATGCTAGTCATCTAAGCATTCCACTCCAATAGCTATTATGATTTCTCATTGGAAAGAAAAGTGGAAAGCTGAGATTTGGGTGCTACAGAGAAAGCTTCTCAAGACGCTCAGCCATGGTAAAGCTTTCTTTTATGCACTTCTGTGCTTAGGGATAAGTCTGTAGAAGATTGGAGCCCATTGTGTTGATTTATGTTACTCCATCTGCTGTTTAATAATAATAGCTACCCTGAAAAAGCACAGCGCTCTATCAGTAATACCACCGGCCTATACTTTTATAAGATTTCATTTTATTCAGTTGGCTCAGACTACCTTAACAACATTTACACTCTCAATTACCTCTGCGATGGAGGCAAATTGCCTATGGCTACTGTGAACTGAGATTAAAATTCAAGAGTTCAGCCTCTTAAGATTTCTAGTCAATCCCCTGAACCAAACTCTTTCCCTAAACACTAAGTGATTTTAAAACTAATGTAACCACAAAAAAAAAAAAAAAAAAAAGCCAGGAGCTATTCACATTGCCTTGTGTCTCCTGTTTAGTGTTGAGAGAGAATTTGGTACTTTCTACACCAGACAAATCCAGGCTCCTGTTTTGTTTTTCAGGGATGTGGCAGCTCCATAAATAAGCACACTTGTTCTACCCCTGAGGAAATATGAGGTACCTGAACCCACTGATTTTTTTGAATACCATTAATATAAACTTCCTTTTATTTGGGGGGGAATTTTTATTAAAAACATAAAAAGCAAGTGTAGGAAACCTCTTTTAGGTCTTCCTAATTATGTTGACAGGAGCTGTACTTTTCCTCACTCGCCAGAGGCACATGTCCGTTTTACTCTATAATGAAGCTTTCAAGCCAGATGTTTTTTGGCCATGTTTCAGGTTTCCCTTTGAATGCGTATCTGCCATGTCTTCCACCGTTTGAAAACTGAAAATGAAAATGCAACAGGTTCGAGGAGCAATTAATAAATTCTGTCATTTATAGAAAAAAATCAGTAGCTTCTGTCCTACAAGAAAATGAGCATTTCATAAATATTGAATACCGCTACCCACATACTCTACAAGTTGGTTAGCTAAAAAGACAGTGATTCCATTAGAGGCTTTCAGTTGAGATAAAATAGCTGACATTGTTTGTTACTCTTTTACTTTTAAAATGTGATGAACAGCAATCTCGTACATTCCACAAAATTCCACGAGAAAATTTTACCAGTTACTGAAAACTCTAAGCCTTTATTAAGGGGATTTCTTGTCTCACAAGCTGTGTGACTTGGATGAATATTTAATTAGTTGTACATGTAGCATATGCTTCTATTAGGGAATAATTTTAGCCATATAAAATATTCATTAGTATCTGATAGTACCACAAGTGGAAAGCTGAGCAGTTATCCTGTCCAGAAAAAGACTTAGTTCATGTTTCATAATCAGAGAAAAGGTGACCAGTGCCCCCTAGTTCCTAACGAAGGTTGAATTTAGAGTAAGAAATCACCCTGACTAATAACCATTTCCTCAAACTAGATGGCTCTTTCCCAACATCCTTCAAAAGTCATATAACTAAACCCTCAATGATTGAATTACTCCAGCTAGAAAATGAAAGTTAAAAGCCCTCCTTGTCACATGGAGCTATAATAAAGCATAGTTAATAAGTCAGTACTTTAGGATCTTGCTTACAAGAGAGTTATATCCCTCACATCATTCAATATAAGCATCTTTTCAATATGGGAAAAGCAAGTTACATTTGTCTTTAAAGCAAAGTTTTATCTTTACACTAAAGCATTGTACTGTAAAACAATCATATGAAATTTGTATCTATGTCGAATGTTCTCATCACACAGAAATAAGTTTTGTAATGATGATTATACTAATTATCCTGATTCCATCTTCACACATTGTATACAGGTATTAATATTCAACTCTTGGTTACAGCCCAGTGTTATAACACCAAGGTCAAAGGTTTGGATCCCCATATACTGGCCAACACCAAAAAATACAAATAAGATAAATAATAAATAAATAAATAAAAATACAAGTCTGACAAGTCAATAGTATTTTCTTACTAGAAAAAAATGAGATCATTTCCTGCTTGTGCTTTTTGAGCCCAATTAGCTAGAGTAGCATTATCTGTTGCAGAGTGGACCTCCTACACTGATTTTTACATTCATTTTACTGAATGTCTATAGGGCCCAACATTACAGTTTTACATATATATTTTCATCATATAAAAAGTACCCACATCTTGAAGAGGAAAAATGGCAACTCCAAATGTACCATCTAGATATCAGTTTTCTTAAAATCTTTTCAAAGTACTTTGGTCATAATATCATAGCTACTTTTTTACACATTCAGAAAGGAATTAAGATTGCATTAGCATAATAAAACAGGATGACAGATGAAAAACAAAATCAATCAGGTTAAAAAGTTTTTTAGTTTTTCAAACATATGGCTTGACCTACACAAACATAAGAATAAGAATGCAATGTATATGGAAAAGCATTCGCTCCCTGAGCCTTTCTTCATGAATGAAACAAAATTAATCAGTTTTTCTTCATCACGTAAAAAAATTTTCTCTTCCTTCTAACCCCTGTCCATATAGCCAACTTTAAATATAGCAAAGAGGATTTTTATGTATATGTATATACACACACACACACAGAATACTACATAATTTTTGTTTCAAGACAGTCATTATTTGTTTAACTAATTTTATAGAAACCATTGTCCGCAAAGGAGTCTTCTTTTTTTCATCTTTTATTGATGATTGACACATAATAATTCTACATATTTATGGAGGACAACGGGATGTTTCTATACATATATACGTTGTGTAATGATGAAATCAGAATAATTAGCATATTCATCACCTTAAACAATTATCATTAATTTGCAATGAGAATGTTCAAAAACCTTTCTTCTAGATATTTCGAAATACACAATATATTTTTGTTAACTTTAGTCATCTGTTTACCCAATAGAACATCAGAGCTTATTTTTTCCATCTAATTGTTTACCTATTCTAGAAAATAAGTATATGTCCTTTTTCTTTTTCCTATGCCAGAGACATAAAATTTATTAGGATGTTTACGAAGTTTCTCAATTTCCAGAAAGATACCACCCAAGACTGGCAACAGAATTCCCAAAGCTCCCCAGGAAAGATATGTTTTAATATGAAGGAATCAAACGACTTTGGAAAGCCCAAAGGCATCCACCTATTAAAATAGCACTTGGTTACAGACAACAGCTACGTGCTTATTGAAAGTCTCTTGGTTTCTTGTTTTTGGTGGGGGTTGGGGGGTTGTCAGTGATAGTGCCACCTTGTTCCAACTTCTTTTTTTTTTTATTTTTATTTTTTTTTATTTTGTCAATATACAATGTGGTTGATTATTATGGCCCATCACCGAAACCTCCCTCCCTCCTCCCTCTCCCCCCTCCCACCCAAGAATGTCCTTTCCGTTTGCTTGTTGTAACACCCTCAAAAAAATTGTAGTTGTTATATCTCCCCCCCCCCGGTTTGTGTGTGTGTGTGTATGTGTGTGTGTGTGTATGTGTGTGTGTGTGTATGTGTGTGTGTGTGTATGTGTGTGTGTGTGTATGTGTGTGTGTGTGTATGTGTGTGTGTGTGTATGTGTGTGTGTGTGTATGTGTGTGTGTGTGTATGTGTGTGTGTGTGTATGTGTGTGTGTGTGTATGTGTGTGTGTGTGTATGTGTGTGTGTGTGTATGTGTGTGTGTGTGTATGTGTGTGTGTGTGTATGTGTGTGTGTGTGTATGTGTGTGTGTGTGTATGTGTGTGTGTGTGTATGTGTGTGTGTGTGTATGTGTGTGTGTGTGTATGTGTGTGTGTGTGTATGTGTGTGTGTGTGTATGTGTGTGTGTGTGTATGTGTGTGTGTGTGTATGTGTGTGTGTGTGTATGTGTGTGTGTGTGTATGTGTGTGTGTGTGTATGTGTGTGTGTGTGTATGTGTGTGTGTGTGTATGTGTGTGTGTGTGTATGTGTGTGTGTGTGTGAGTGAATTTATTTATTTATTTTTAGCTCCCACCAATAAGTGAGAACATGTGGTATTTCTTTTTCTCTGCCTGACTCATTTCACTTAATATTGTTCTCTCAAGGTCCATCCACCCAACTTCTAAAGCGGAGTAAGTTAGTTGTAGATGCTGAGTCGGAGGGATGCTAAAGCTTCTGGTTTGACTCCTTCATTGTCAGGCACTGAGCAAAGCAGCCATTGATCAGCTGCATCTTGGGATACAAGGCTCACAGCAGGGCTGAGTAAAGATTGAGAGGTTGATGTTTTCCAGGCCTGGGATTGGCTTGCAGGAGTTGAGCAGAAAGCAGGTGGGCACACAGGGCTGAGGAATATGGCAGGGTGCAGGACAGGTCCTTTTT